TTGAGACATTTGGAGACGTTTTTGCAAATACAGTTCAACTCATCTTTGATAACTGCAGTTTTTTGAGATTCTTGTTTGTTTGTTTGTTTTTTTTGTTCGTTTTTTTAATCTCACCTCCTTCATTGTCTTTCTCTCCTCGGTCTCAGGTAACAATTGTGCTGCATTATTTCGGTCACATCTGTATTAAGTTGGACCCAAGAATGAAGACAGACACATGGAGCTAAAAAAAAAAAAAGTAAAAACTAAACTGTATTTTTAAACATAACAAAAGCTGACGTGGCAGCACGAGGAGAACCAGATGTGGCATCAACTCAAGAAGAAATGAGAACTGAGGGATGCTATGCACAGGGCTGATGAACAGACACCTGGGCTAACTGACCAGGTGAGAGTGGGCAGGGCAGGAGCTGAGGAGCAGAAACTGGCAGAGGAAAACGTTAACTGATGGCACAAAGACAAATGGAACAGAGAAAACAAATAAATGAAATAAATCTAAAAAAGAAACCCAACATTATCAAGAAAAAATTCAAAAGAATAAAAACACAAATCCTGACAATTACTGCAGGCGTGTCTTCCATACCTTATCTTATTTTAAACATAACAGTGAATTTCTGTTTTGCTGGTTTTTGGTTATGTGCTGAAACAATGTGAGAGCAGACTGCTAGTAGCTTTTTGTCTTTTCTTTTGTTCTGAGAGTAATCTGAAGAGTTTAAACTTCTCATTTCCCAAGTACAGTGAATGCAGCATGATTTGAAGTAAAAGCTGAATGGTGAGAATGATAAGGGAGCTGGATTATTTGTCCTGGAASAGAGCGACAAACTTTCCGTCTGCGAGTGAAGGAAATATTTTTACCTGATAAAAAAATGAGTACAAAGTAAAAGGGTCACATCGTTCAAAGTACTGCGAGATGAAGCTGCCTCAAGGTGCACAGGCTACTTTAAAAACCATAAATACTTTTATGAGCCCCTTTGAAGCCATCATGCCAAGTCAGGCCATTCTCATTGTTGCGTCATATCCAAACAGAGGTTTTTACCTTTCACACACTCCAGCTGAGGCTTAAATGTCAGTGTGTGTGAATGAATGAAAGCAAATTTAAATGTGTACTGTGGGATTCTATGAGTAGATGTAAGTGTGCTACTGAGTACAAAGTTATAATCTGCATCATAATGAGATCTGTGCGCTGTTCAGACAGAAAGGCCTGAATTGGGGTGACACCAAAAGGGGGCACCCCTAAAGACTGAATTCAAACGAGTGCGAACTCTGAGTCTGAGGGTTTACAGCTAGAAGAGGGTAGAAAGACTACTTGAGTACTGATTAATTGATAACATCTGATTTAATATTTCAGAGTGATGTCTCTGCCTCAAGTGGAGAGCTTGGATTATATTTAAATAAGACATGAGACAGAGGGTTGGTGATGGCGTCAATTTGGACGTATTTTTCCTGAGTGAGTATAAACAGGCTGAAAATGTGGCAGGCCATAAATTATCATATATCCTCCCTCTGCCCTCCCACGGCTCATATAAGTACATTAACAGCAATAATGATGGCTGGATATTCTGTTTGTTTATTAATAATGTTATGTTTGGTGAAGAGGAAAAACGATTTTTTTTATGTTAACGGTGGTGATGGAAAAGCTGCGTGCTCACGTTCAATTGGATCAAATCAGCTGCTCTTCTAGCTCTTTTAACAACCAGCTTCAGACAAAACAAAGCATTTTCAAACAAAATAACCTGCAGAAGGCAGAGCTGATTGGAGTCCAGCTCCTCAGTGCTGTTGGACCGCTGCGGTGTTCCTCATGAACAAACACGCCCACAAAGTTCTAACCAATCACACGCTCTGAGTCGCAAAGTCTGCATAGCAGAGTTCTGACTGGAGGCAATGTACACAACAGCTGCCCCCGGGGGATAGCAGCAGGGGAGCAGACAGAAGTTGTGGAGTTTTTTTGTCACTCAGCAGGGGGAACGAGATGTGCAACTCGCAGCATAAACCAGCCTTAAKTATCTGGGTGTCTTGTTCACCAGTGATAGTAGGATGGAGCAGGAGATGGACCGACAGATTTGGGTCTCGTCCTCTGTAATGAGGGTGTTGCTTCGGTCAGTCGTAATGAAGAAAGAGCTGAGTCGAAAGGCAAAGCTATCGATTCACTGGTCTGTCTACATCCCAACCCTCATCTATGGTCATGAGGTGTGGATCATGACCAAAAGAATGAGATCCTGGATACAAGCAGCTGAAATGAGCTTCCTTCGTAGGGTGGCAGGGCTCAGCCTTAGAGAGAGGGTGAGGAGCTCCATCATCCAGAGGGAACTCGGAGTAGAGCCGCTGCTCCTCCACATCAAAAAGAGCCGGTTGAGGTGGTTCATCTGAGCAGTATGCCTCCTGGACGCCTTCCGGGCACGTCCCACTGGTAGGAGGCTCTGGGGAAGACCCAGGACTCGCTGGAGGGATTTTGTATCCTCTCTGGCCTGGGAACATCTCGCGGTCCCCCAGGACGAGCTGGAAAGTGTGACTGGGAAGAGGGATGTGTGGGTTTCTCTCTTGGACCTGTTGCTTCTGCGACCCGACTACAGATAAGCGAAAGAAGATGGAGATGGAGAAAATGATGTCATCAAACTGACAAAACATAGAAAGTTATGTGCCAATTCTGGTGTTTTAAAAGAGTAAAATAAAGGAAATGATTACAAATAGCATAATTACAAAATAACAAAACATCACTCAAATAAATGTAACTGAGTAAATGCAACTAGTTTTACAAACTTTTACACTGCTGTRGTTTTTATCATAACAGTTTCCACTTCTTCCTTTCAGGGTCACGGGGGCCCATATCTGCAGGGGCAGGGGTAAATATGTGCAGACAGTTTAGGAACAGAGTTGACCTGCACGGTGGTTAAAAAACACAAATAATGAATCAATTAGAAACTGAAGAGTCACAATCTTCTAAGCTCAGATTTTGATCAGAAATTAGATTTTAAAAACACACTCTAAGAAATGAAATGTTGGATTTACTTAACCATGTTATGTCAGTTGGTTYCACTTAAATGAGTTGRGTAAAKCCAAAKGAATATATCCAATTTCTAACCAAAGAACATGAGTATGTTGCTTTTAATTTACTCAACTCAGTTAAGTGGATAACATGGTTAAGTAAATCCAACATGTTTTTTAGAGTGCATGTAATAAAGCATGATTTTACTATTCAGGATTTGATAAGTCAGAATCAGATGATTGTGTCTGAGATATGTCTCCTTCTGACCAAATTAAAAAAAATGCAATAAATAAACTTTTCTTATCAAATGTTTGTGAGCTGGGTTTGCTTTCTTTCATGAACATTAAACAGGTTATAATGATGTTTACATGGTCCTTTGGTAATTTTACTGTTCAAAACTAAATAAAATAAAATAAAATATAATGTGTTTTTTTTATTTTTGAGTCATACTCCCATGATCATTTTCCTATTTAAACTGATCAAGTGGCCATCATCTTACTCACTGCAGGAAAAACTAAAACTGCAATTCAGGAATGTCTTCAGACCATTTTGGGAAATTCACAACTGACATTCTTGCTCAAATTAACACATAAACAAGACACAACACTGAAGCTTCAGGGAAAACCCAAACCTTCAACACCCCACAACATAAATGAATGAAGAAATGACCTTTAAAGATGCTAATTTTACATAAAAAAGGAGAGGGGAAAGGATCTCACACAGACAAAAGAAGCACAGTGAAAAGCTTTTATTGTGCTGCAGCAGAAAGGAGGCCCATGCCATCAACTTTAAAATAACTTTCAGGCAGAAAAGAAAAGTGAACCGAACAACGAAGAAGCTGTTTTTAGCCTCTTTATGACTCCCAGAACTSTCCTGCACAATAACCATCTGTCGCAGTGATTAAATGCATGTGTTGAAATCAAGTTTCATTGTACAACACTGAACATAATCACTTATTTAAACAAATAAAACTCRGCTTCTTAAAGCTTAAAGAACTTCAGCTGGAAWGAGGATTTCTTTAAAACCTTATTTTGCTTTTTGATGATGTGATCCCTAAATGCACATTACAAGCATGATCACACACATAAAAAAAAGGGGGACAGAATCCCACAAAATGTCCTGGACACACACACACACACACACACACACACACACACACACNCACACACACACACACACACACACACACACACACACACACACACACACTAATCCTCCCAAATCCAGACAGGAAATGTTCTCGTCAGCAGAGCACAATGCTTTTTGACAGAGACCCCCCACTCTGCGCTCTCCCCCCTCTTTCTCTCTCTGAATGATGTGTTTGCTCTCTTCAAACCTACCATCTGGAAGCTGTTAGCCTGAGAACGTCATGGCAGCCAATAAAAACATGTCTGCTGCAGGTCTTTATCAGCTGCAAACTTTACCAGAAGTCTGTGGTCAGAGAGAACACGGTGCAAGATTATCCTTTTTGGCTTTCCCTTTCTCCGTTTGTGTCCTTTCAATAAATCTTTTGTAAAAAAAAGAAAAAAATAACAGTCTTTCTGCATCAGTGCCTCCTTTATAAATGATTTCCTGTTTTGCTTTCTGTGGAAGGCAGCACACGCTGGAGAATTATTAAAGGAATTCAATCACAAATCTATCAAAAGTCCTCTGACGGCTCCTGAACATTTTCTGTTCACATGGCAGCTTTGTGGAAAAGACGAAGGAGACCGTGGCCTTTTATTTAGAACCAAAGCAGTGTCTTTAAAAAGGAAAACACTTGACAGGAAGGAGGAAAAGGTCACTAAAAAGAAAAGCTTGTGTACATTCTCTCATCCAGGTCATTCTTTTCAAACTAAACTTCTTTTAGCTTCTCAGACAAATATTTCCAAAAAGGAAAGAAGAAAAAAAAAGTCAAAGGACACAAAAACACAAATTTAACAAAATGAAAAAAAATGCATCAGTTTTCTGATTTACGGAAAGACTTGAAGCTATGAGCCTGACTGTAAAACGATAAAAAATATAAAGAATAAACACTACMGCATAGCTGTCAGTGAACAACTTTTATTTCCTGATGAACATCCGCMGCAGATCAGTATTTAGAGGTTACAGAAAGTGGATCAGGCAAAAGATTAAAAAAATAAAATAAAAAATGCAACAACATAGTCATTAAAACATCTGGTGCCAGGAGGGAATTACATTTTAATAAAGAAACCATCAATAACAGCATTGATTGAAGGTTGCCCTCTTGTGGTGGATAAACCTCACATGTTTTTTTAAAGCTAATTTCCTATTAATTAAAAACCTCTTTTAAAAACACAATACATGAAAAATACAACCAATTAGTGAGTTCACAATTAAAAATAAAAAAACAAATCTCGAAACAAAGCTCAGATCAGCATTAAAGGTCACGTTCAGGTGACTGCTAAAAGCCAGACGCATAGAAATGTAGTTTTTTAAGCACAGATTGCTTTTCATTCGTAACACTACAGCGGTCTTCAGTGTTTTCAACGTGACCAGGGTATAAAGCTGAACAAACAAAGCTTTGGGAAAAGCCAGACATGCAACAATAACGACATACGCAGAAGACACTACACTGCAGCCTGTAAACAAACAAGCGAGTCACAAACAAAAACACAGCAGATCAGAAACTACATTCAGATTCGTCACATTTAAGGATGGAAGACAACCCTCGTGTTTATTGCACATYGTCTCTCTGCTGATGGGAAGCTCTAAAAAAAGCACTTTTGATAAAACAAAAGCAAAATGAGCGAAGCGTTTCTAWAATTAAAGGTTAAAGGTGTTAAACTACTTGTCTGTCAGTGAGAGTGTCGAGGAAAGGCTCCTTTCTTTTCTTTTTAAAGGTGCAAAACCTGTTAAAGTTTAAGTGTGATGAAGCCAAACATGACCYGACTTGCTCCTAAATAGCTTCACTTTCACTTCTAACAGTAACAGTTTATCTTGGCTCTGTCTTCAGAACACTGCGAGAGGAAATAAAAACTATTCATTCTCAATTAAAAAGGCCTGTAGCCGACTTATTGGAAAGCACCCAGAGTTAAAGAGATTGATGAGCTCGTCACACAGTTATGTCCTACACTGAAAAAAATGAAAACCTCAAGACGTTTGTTCTTCAGTGGTTTAACTTCTGAGCTTAAACTAGACAGCAAAATGAAACACTGCTGTAAATAAGCCACAAAATGTCGCAACTACTTGATGTTCTCTTAGACGTCCAGTGTTTTGGAGCGCAAAACAAAACAAAACATAAAAAAAGGAAAATCACAACTGTCCTTCTGCTCACATGGTGCCTCATCTCCGCTGCAAACGCTTCACTTCCAGCTGATGGTGAAGTTCTGACTCAGGTTCAGACCCAAATCTGCGACTGACAACACCTGCAGAGGAGGAGGGACAAATAAAAAACACAAACACTGTCATTTTAGATTTAAATACAGAACTTCTTCTTGCCATAAGATTAAAAACATCTTGTTTTGGGACTTTCCCTTAAATGAATACTTTACTGATGTTTGGACATCGGTGAACTCTCAGCCGAATCAACACTGGAAAAAATCCCCAGCTCAGTATATAAAGAGCTACGAGCAACACACCAGGAATATTTCACAAAMACAAAGCCCAGAAATGACAGTGACTGAATGAACAGTGAAGTGCWCCCGTGTCGTTTTTCTGAATGGCTGTTTGCCTAATCTTTATGTCCTCCGTTTCCAGAGCTGACCAGCAGGTGAACCTGTAACCGGAACAAGCTCTGCCTGCTAGACGAGCGTGGCGGCATGTCTGCTGGAAGCTGGTTCCTCTCCACGCCAGCCTTGCACCGTGTCACTTTAAGTTAAAGGGGCAATATCATGTAAAAACAACTTTTTTGAGTTTTATATCATGTTATAATGTTACAC